GCGGTTGCAGTCATATGGGGAGTGAGCCGCTGGATAAAAGCTCTTTCTCTCTGTCTCTCCTTTCCTCTCTATTAAATCTGATTTCAAATAAAATCTTAAAACACAAAAGACTCCCAACTTAGGGTCTTGGCCTAGTGATGTTTGGAGCCCCCAAGGCCTGCCTCTGCCTAGCCGCACTACCTCCCCTGCCACCCCACTGAACTGCTTCAGCTTTGGTCACCCGCCCCAACACACACACACACACACCCCGGCTGCTCCCTCCCCCACTTCCTGACCCTTGGAGACATGCTCAGACCAGCTGCAGGAGAGGCCTTTGTGCCCAGGTGGTGTCCTCTGCCCTGGGTGGAGGCCTGTGCTCTGGGAGGAAGTCTCCCAGCCTCCACGACCCAGGCAATGCCAAGAGAGGAAGGACTCTTGAGCTGAGACACTTGGGAAAGCAGGGCATGTGATCCAGCTGGCAGTCCTGGCCACAGCCCGTAGGCATTGTGACCAAAGGTAGACCACAGGCACGTTAGCAGCAGGGAGGGCGGGTACAGGAGCAGGAGGACCTTCAATATTGGCTCATTTCCTGTCCCCTGCTCAGTATCTGTTGCTGGCAGAGGGTTTGTGTTTGCTGCCGATTACAGCACAGAGCTGGCCAAGGGCTCTGGCTGCTGGGGGCCCAAGCTGGGTTTCTGAGCCCTGCCTATACCCGGTCTCAGCTGGCAGGATGAGCCTCTGTGAGGCATCCTGAGACACACAAGGAGACAGGGCACCTGGCTTGATGGGCCTCTCCCTGTCCTGCCCCCATCCTTGCTGACTGTGGGCAGTTGCCCTAGCTCTCCTGCATCTCCAATCCAGCCTGTGGCCCCGGTGCCCACCCCCTGAGACGGGGAGCTCCCTCCCCTGATGAGCCCCACTAGCTTTGGGCGGTCTGAGACACCAGACAGGTGAAGCCACCTCTCCTCCTGCTGTGGATTCTTGCAACAATGACCCCGGCAGCAATGTCCAGCCACTTCTTCCGGACCAAAGCAGGACCTGAGGAGGAAGAGATGGAATCTATTTTTGAGCATCAGCAGGTTGGGCTCAAGGAGCTGCCCCAGAGCAAAGTCAGGCAGTTTTGTCTTTACCTCTTCCCTGCCCCATCACAGACCTGGTGCAGCTGGCCAGCCTCAGTGCTCTAAAGCCGGCCTCCTGGTGCTGCTCCTCGTCAGGGGAGGAAGCCTCCATCTGCCCCTCAGGCTGCTCTTTTTCCACCTCCCTGGCCTCTGGCCCCGGCAGCCTCCTGCCCTGAGTGCTTCCCCCAACCCCAACCCTTTGAGGCAGGGCGTCATTACTCCCATTTCACGGTGAGGAAGCTGAAGTCCCGAGAGGTGACATCGCTTTACAGAAGTTGCTGGAACAAAGTCAGGAGGCTGCTCATGGTCCTCCCCCAGGGAGAGGTCATCAGCCTTTCCCACTTCTGCACCCCCACAACCCTGGGTGCCCCCTTCCCACGCCAGGCAGGCTCCACTGACAGCCTGCCCCGGCGTGCCCCAGCCCAACCCCCTCCCTTTGGGGAAATGGTCTTGGCTGGGCCCCAGGAGGACAAGGCCATACGTGATTTGTCCTTTCAAACAGCCGCGCTTCCTGGAGGGCTGCGATCCAGCAGGCCCCACGAGGCCGCCTCCGCCCAGCCACGTGAGGCCCCTTCCCCTCCCGCTGACTCAGAGCCTGGCAGTGTGGGCAAGGGCCACCCGCCCCAGTGCCTTGGCAGCAGGGCAGATTCCTCCGCTGTGGGGAGGGTAGGAACGCGTCTCCCCTTTACAATGGGGGACTGGCGCATGCCCTGCATGCTTGGAAGCTTTTATGCCAGCAGCAACCTCAGGGACCAATCCTCACTGCTTCCAGGGTCCAGAGGGTCGCAGACCTCATGTGAGCTGCACTCTGCACCCCAACCTGTGCAGGGAGAGTGGGGGACCCATGTGTTCAGCGGCAAAGTCCTCTAGCCACAGTCAGTTCACTAGAGAGTGGAAGACGGTGGCCAATGGGAAGGCCCAAGCCAGTGAGCTCCCAAGAGTCACTTGGATTTTTTTTTTAGAAGAATCTGGTTTGAGGGAAAAACAAACACAAACAAACAAAAAACAGGACAAAGACTAATATTGCCTCGTTCTTCAACATGGGAGAGTCAGAAGGGAGGCAGGGTGGAAGGTGCTGTTGCTGCCATGGGACAGTGCGGGAGCTCGCCACTTGGCTGTGGACAGCAGTCGGATCAAGAAGGGAAGTGGAATGTATTGCTTGTGGTGAAAATGTGGAGAAATGGCACTTACAGTGTAGGGCCTTGGAGACACCCTGCCCCAGCTGTCCTCTCCGGGTGGCTGCCTGGCTCAATCTGTGAACAGTCCCAAAGAGTCTGTCCCAGGAAGGTGACTGGGCCTCTGGGTGGGCTGTTCCTTAACTGCACACATTTGTCAACTCCCAGAGCCGCACACCCCAAAGGCTTTTACTGCATGGAAATTATACCTTGGGGCAGGTGTTGGGCATTGTAGATGAGACACGGAGGGAGAGGCATGCCACCCACATCTCAGTGCCGGGATTGCAGTCGCACTCCCAGCTCCAGTTGCCAGCTTCCTGGGACCTCCACCTGCAGTGTCACATCTTGTATGGGTGCTACTGCTTCGTGTTCCCGCTGCTCTGCCTGACACAGTTCTTTGCTCATGCGCCTGGCAACAGCAGGGGAGGAAGGTTACTCACATGGGAGACCCGACTGGAGCATCAGGCCTCTGGCCTTGGCCTAGCCTAGCCCTGGCTACTGTGGTCATTTGGCAAGCGAGCAGTTGCTTCTTTCCATCTCTCCCTCTCTTTCAATCTTTAAAAAATATTCATTCCAACTTCCTGTTGTAGACTCTGGGAGGCCTCAGGTGGCAACTAAAGTGAATAGCTAGCTTCCTGCCAGCGGCCACGGTGGGCATCTGGGGAATAAAGCAGTCAGTGATAATGCCAGCATGGGAGGCAGCAGCGATGGCTCATAGGGCTGAGCTCCTGCCGCCCACATGAGATCTGTGCTGTTCCGCAGCCTTGATCTCACAGGCACCGGGGACTGAACCGTGGACGGAAGGTCCTCCTTTCCACCTCTGCCTCTCCAATAATGTGTTTAAGTTAAAATGTAAGATTTATTTTTATCAGACAGGCAGATTTAGAGCGAAAGAGACAGAAAAAAAAATCTTCCATCCACTGGTTTACTCCCCAAAATGGCTGGGCCAGAGCTGAGCCTACCCGGAGTCAGGAGCCGGGAGCTCTTCCAGGTCTCCTACGCGGGTGCAGGGTTCTGAGGCTTTGGGTCATCCTTGACTGCTTTTCCAGGCCACAAACAGGGAGCTGGATGGGAAGTGGAGCAGCCAGGATACAAACTCGTGCCCATATGGGACTGCAGTGCTTGCCAGGCGTAGATTTAGTCACCTGTAGTTCATGCACAAGGGCAAAGCACCACGACTTGTGGGAGGCCAGACTTGTGGCTGCCTCTGGAGAGGGGAGACAGGGAGGGAGCAAGAGGGAGCCTGAAGATGCCGTCGCCACCCTCTGTCTTAGCTGTGCTCTGGACTGGAGATGCTTCCATTTCAAAAGAAAACATTCCTTCCTGACGTTTGTCACTGCTGTTACCCATGAGCCACTCTGAGGATAAAGTGGATATCAACCCTTTCCTCCCACCCCACTCTCAGCCAGGCACGGACCAGCACCCAGCACCTGTGCCTGCTCAGCTGCTCCTGACCATGGAGCCAGCGTGGCTGCTCCAGGACTCCTCGCATTCCTGCCTCGCCTAGGGACAAAGCAAAACAACCTTTAAAGCTGGCTGGCAGCCCGGGGTGTTTAACTGCCTCCAGGCCTGGTCTCAAAGGGATGTGGTTCCCTTTAAAAGGATTCAGGAAGAAAGTTACAGCTTCCCAAGCTGGGGGCGGAGAGCCATGGATAATGGAATGCCTGAACTCTGCACAGGACAGAGGGAATTCCACCAGAGCTGGACCCCGTGAGGTCCCTAGGGCACCCCCTTTCCCAGCCCCTCAGCCTTACTCTTAGAATTTCGCTTCCTGGCTTAACCAAGACTGTACCTCTCCTGTTGTCTGCCAAATAAATCCAATCTACTGGGCTTAGCGTATCTAAAATCTAAAAGCATCTGTGTGTACCTTGAGGGTGGGTTTTGATGGGAAGAGCCGGGCGTGACCTCCAGCACTTGGCATGAGGCCTGGGTTCTATAGGAACTCAGCATTTTCCTCCTCCTGTGGCCTGATGTGGGTGGCACCAACCACTCTCACCCCCCACCTCGTTGGTCCGGGACCAAGGTAGTAGGCCCCCAGGGCCAGCTAGACCGCCCATGTCTCCTTGCTGCGAGGCCTCAGCTGGGCCTCCCCCGAGTGCTCAGCCTTGATCCATGAAACTGAGAGGGTGGACATGCACACTGTGGCTCGATGGAGCCCTACCCAGCTGCCAGCTTATTTCCACCCACATCCACGGCCCTCTTGCTGTCACCTGTCAGAAGAGGGAGGCTTCTGGAGCAAACTTGAGAGCTACACCAAGCACGCTCCATTGGCTTAGCCCTCTGAGTCTGTGAGTGAAGACCCTGCCTCTGGGACAAGCTGGAGACAGGTCCAGTGCTCCTCAAATGCGGCCTGGGAGTCCAGAGTGCCTTTTGGAAATGGCCTCTACCTTCACATCTGCAGAATGGGCTGGATGACCTTTGCACTCTCTGCTGCCACCAGTGCGTGGTCACCCCCTGCCCAGTCTCAGCTGCAGCATACACAGGACTCTACTGCACGGAGCCTGTGCGAAGGGAGTCCCTCTGCTCCCCTGGTGCGGGGTCCAGGAAGGCCAACTCCAGAAGCATTGGGGCAGCCAATCAAAGAGGGGTAGATGAGACACAGCTTCGGCAGGAACGGCAGACACCATGAGGCCGTCCTCTTCCAGGAAGTCAGCTGAGCTGCCCCCAGCACCCTCATCCCGACTGCTGAGGTCTCGGCCAGGGCCCCGAGGGACACGATGCCAGCTGCTCCACTTGCACAGTGCTTTATTGAACCAAGGCCCTACAGATGGCTCACGGGGCCTCCAAGTGCAGCCCTTCCCATGTCTTTGAGATTCAGAGTCCAGAGCGGACTGCTTTAGCTGCTTCGATAACATTTCTTCTCACATATTCCCACCCCCTAAGTATCAAGATTTTTGTTCACACAGATAACACATATGGTCTTGTCACAAAATGCCTCTGGCCAGTGGGTATACGGTCACGACCACTCACCCATCCATCCATCCATCCTTCCATCTGTCCTTCCACCTGTGATGGGACAGCAGCAAGTCCTGACCACTTGAGCCCCAAGGCTCACGGCAGTGGGGGTGGGCTTGTGGGTCAGGACCCAGGATGCTCACAACCCTTGCTGGAGCCGCACAAGCTGGGGTCCAGGTGTATTTCTAACCCCAGCTGGACACGGGGAGCCCAAGCAGCCGGCCAACAGGTCCTGAGATGGGCCAAAGTCCCACAGGCAAACCAAGCACACAGCGGACACTGACACAGAAGCAAGTCACACACTCCTGCACTGAGGGATGGGGAAAAGGAACGGAGACAGGGGCCAGATGGCAGCCACGCGCACGCTTCCTGGAGACGGCAGGGCCAGCCCAGGCCCTGTGCACACTGGGTGGGGAGCTCAGCTCCTGGCTGCACCCAGCCTCAGTTGGGGCACACACAAAAGGACTACTGGACAGAAAGATACACTTCAACCAAAACAAGAAAGAGGACAGGAAATATGCTCCTGCTGGGCCCAAAACACTTCCTTCAAGCTGGCACTCCCCCAACTTAACTGACCCAACAGGCTGGGTTCTGCAAAGAGAGCGGTGGGGGTGCCAGGAGACATAACGCCAGTATAATGAGGGCATATGGAGAGACAGAGGGGGCAGGACAGACAGACAGGACCTCCCCCCATAGCACCTGGGGCCTCTGGTAGGCCCTCAGCCCTGCAGGGTCCCGGGCAGCTAGTGGCCAGGCCCTGCCAGGCAAGGAAGGGGCAGGCCCGAGGTGGGCGAAGGGTTCACTGCTCCTGCAACCGGCTACATAGCTCCCGACGGCTGCGTTCCCCGGCCCAGCTGCGCGTCTTGAGGCGGAAGGCCCTCAGCTCATCCTTGAAGGCCTCGTGGTGCATGGGTCGGTAGTCCTGGGGCTCACAGAAGTTCTAGAACAAAGTGGGCATGGTAGGGACAGTCTCCGTCAACTTGGGGGGGATGTGTCTCGCTCTCTTTCCCCCGGCTGAGCCCTTTCCCGCTGCGGCCGCCCCCCCACCCCCCACCATGGTACCGGGTGTTGTGGGAAAAACTCCTTGTAGCCGCCTTTTAGGATGTACATCTCAGGGTAGAAGAGGTTGGGGTAGTCGTTGGCAGCACGATCTCGCTCCCTGATGAAGCGGCACCTACACCAGCACCAGACACGGATGGGCTCAGAGCGGGCACATCGAGGGCAGGGTCCTGTGCCCACTCACATGCATGTGTTCATGTCAGTCTGACTACCAGCTACAATGGGGCTGGGAGATGTGGGGGAAGCAGGGCTGTGGACTGGAAGGTAGCAGACATCTCCCCAAGCCGGGCAGGAGCGAGGAAGGAGCAGACGTGAGTGGACAGAATGGGGAGACCTGGGGAGGACACAAGGCAGCAGCCAAGGACTCTCCCAGCGTCCAGGTGCAGGTGGGAGCCACGTGCCATTGCCCTGGAGTGGGGGAGAGCTGGGCAGCAGGCCAAAGGACTCCCCACGCTCCAGGCCAGGCTGCAGAGCCACTGGCATCAGAGGGACCAGGGCAGCGCCTGAATGGCAACAGAGACAGGAAAAGTACAAAGTGAGGAACCAGGTGCCATGGGCAGAAGGGGGCACTGAGGGGCATCTAACACCAGAAGGGTCTGTATCACTACAGGCCACCACCGGGTCCCTGGAGCCACCAGAATTAGAATCCGACCTGGTGGTGGTGGCAGCAATGGTGCAGAGGGGATGAGAGGCCCAACAGGGAGGAAGCCAGAGGGACACGGGGGAGGTGGTACCTGTGCCAATGACTCTAGGCCATTGGATGGGGCCCATCCCAAGGCCACCCCCACAGCCTCGAGGGAAGGCTGGAGCAGACCCAGGGAGCTGAGCAAAGCTGGGACTCACATGCGAGGGCCTCGCTCAGAGGAGAATTCACAGTGGAAGATGAGGATGATTCTCTTGTCCAGGCTACAGGGCACCATGGGGCTCTGCAGCAGGAAGGTCTCGGCATCCCGTTCCAGGGGCAAGTTCACGGCCGACTGTCAGAGGAGCAGGCTCAGGCCACAGCCTCAGACCCCCATCTCAGACTGAGCCCCACCTCTGGCTGGGCAGGGTCTTTGACCATGAGAAGGGACCACCCACCCGTGCCGATACACACCCAGCAATCTAAGTTGTCCTCTGGGCAGAGGACCTGATCCAAGTGGGTCCCTCCCAAGCACCCCACTCACCTTGATATGCCCGCCTTCATATTCATAAGGGTACCTGCAGTCTACAATCACAAACTTCTCCACGATGTTGCTGAATTTTCCCATCAACAGGGCCACCATCTGGAGGAGGCAATGGGAGGGGTGGGTGTCAATCCCAGCAGGTCAAGCCGACAGCCTTCCCGCTGGTCTAGCACATGCAGACCCAACCCTGGGCGTGGGCCAACAGCCAGTCGGCAGTTCCTTGTGCACCTGCCCTGCTCACCGTTTCTGGGGAGATGTACTTGAGATCTTGGTGTTTTCCATCCACAGTCTGCAGGAGGAAAGCCTGAAGGGAGGGGAGGAGCAGGTGAGATGGAGAAACCCAGATTACATCTGCTTTGGCTTCCAAGTACTCTCTGGTTCTCATAATACCTGCAAGACACCCTCTGGGTCTGACAGCTGGGAAGCAAGTTTATAAGCAGTAAGAGAATAAGAAGAGAAGGGCCGACTCCCTGCCATCTGTCTCATCACCCCAGTCCCTGTGTTCTCCCCAGCCCAGGAGGAGGCAGCACAGGGAGGCTCAGCTGGACATTAGTGGGTGTTTTCCAAAGCTGAGCTACAACAGGTGCCTGGACAGACTTCAAATGTGGTCCTTCTTAGGACCTTCAAGGACAAGAAGACACTAGGTGCGCCAGTGGCTCCTGGGCTAAGGGTGCACGATGCTCAAGCCACCATCATACCTTGGAGTAATCTCCAATGAGCCCCCGGTGGTCATTGTCCAGGATACTCTCAATCTCATCGTGACACAGGGACTTGGAGCGGAGGACGCGGGCTTTCTGGGAGGGGAGGGAGATGGTGGCCAGGGTGAGGGGCCAGCACTCCCTTTCCTATCCCGTGCGGAGAAGCCAACCCCACGAGGCACTCACGGGCTGCTGGGGTTCCCACGGCTCCTCCTTAGGTGGGGTGCCACTTCGACGCCGCTTGCTCTGAACCGGCACGTCCCTGTCCTGCGGCCGCTCCATCCTCTTAAGGATGGGCCGGATGACACTGCAGGGCATGGACGGAGAGCGGAAGAGCCGCTGGCACTTGCTGAACATGACGAGGTCCTGGCAGGGATGGCAGGTCAGTCAGAGCGACTGAGCCCACCCAGCTCCTGAAATCCCACCTAGAGAGGGAACAGCACCCCCAGCCCCAGGCACACCTGCTCCTCTTGCTTGTCCACAATCTTGACCAGTGGGGCGCTAATGAGACTCTCCATGCCTGGGGGCACTGCACTGTCATCCTGTGACCAAATTAGCAAGGATTGGGGACACCCATGGGGCACAGGCCAGATCCTTCCAACCCCAGGCCAGCACCCATGGGGCACAGGCTAAGCACCCCCAAACCCCAGGCCAGCACCCACGGGACACTGGCTAAACCCCCAAAACCCAGGCTAGCACCCATGGGGCACAGGCCAAACCCCTCCAACCCCAGGCCAGCAGCCTTCCCCGGCAGGCACAAGCTCTTTGGCTGCTGTGCATGTCCTGCCGGCCTCCCTCCATTCTAGCCCCAGCCGCCCACTCCTCCGATCAGTGAGGGATCAGACTTGACTCCGTAACCTTGAACTCCTCTGACACTGGAATGAGGCCAGACTTGCCCTAGGGGCTTGGATCTTTTCCCCATGGGAACTCCCAGCAAGGGGAGACATGGGCCTGGCAGGGCAAGGCTCTACCTTTAAGTCACTCTCCAGGATGTCCACAAATCCATCATCTTCCTCAGCAGTCCCTTGGACGGGAGTCAAGGAGGCCTGGGCCAGAGGACTCAGCTCTTCCATTTCCATCTTCTGCTCCGGGCTGAGATGCTGCTTGGAGACAAGGGGCCAAGCTGTCTGTGGGCTGGAGATCATGACAGCCCCCTCCCCTGGGCCTGGGGCTCAGGGACCCCCTCCCTCTACCAGGCTGCCTTCAAAGTACCATCAGATTGGGGGCCGAACTCGGCCTCTGGGTAAAGGCTTCTCGTCGGCTGGCCCATTCCGCAAGGGTCCGTATGGGGCTGGGATGTGTGGGCTTCCACGGCATCTTGAAGACAACCCCTTCCTGTGGGCAAGGGTAAGAGAAGTGATGTCAACCAAAGCCAGAGGACCGGCACCTGCCCCCTGCTCCCGGGCGGCAAGGAGTCTCCCTGGAGCTCGCCAGGTTGGGCCTTTGGAGCTCACATTCTCTTTGTCCTCCTCCAAGCTGCTGGCCGCGCAGCAGCCACCTGCCTCGCCTTTCCTCCAGCCATGCAGCGTTTGCGAGTTGGTGACATTGCGTAGCACGGGGCTGTGGCCCAGCAGCCTCACCTGGGAAACAGCAAGGGCAGAGGGCTGAAAGCTGTACCCACTTTCTCCAAGCCCTCTTCCAACCATCTCCCCAGCGCCTCAAAGAGCCCCACCCCGCCAGCCCAAGGACCCCCCAGCTGTGTCAACTCATCTCCTCCGTGGGAAGTGGCCCTGGGACTGCCTGGAGGGCCTTGGGCTTCCCCTGAGCCCCTGAGGACACTCACGGGCAAGGACTGGAAGCGTCTGATGGCAAACTGCTCGCTGCAAGCAAAGGAAATGGGCCAGTCAGGACAGGGAGAGCAGACGGGACTCAAGCCCTATGCCATTCCAGGGAAACACAAGGCCAAGGGCACTTACCTCCGGATGACCCGGCTGGCTGCCTGGATGACCTGTTCAAACCTGGGGGAGAGAAGGGGCCCCTGCAGCCCATCACCCGCCTCCAGTCACAGAGTCCAGGGGTAATGCCAGCCAGAGGGAGGGGAGGCGGGGAGAGGGGAGCGCTTGAGGCCAGTGGGGCCCAGGTACTGCAGAGGGGGCAGCTCAGAGGCAGTCTGGGGTTTGAAAGGCTGCTCTGAATAGACAAGGGCCCAGAGAATGGCCGTGTAGGAGACAGCTGGGGCAGGTCGAAGGGTCGTTGAGGCGTCACCAAGGCAACAGTCTCGCCAGCCTGCACGCAGGCCTTCCACCTGTATGCAAATCACCTCAGTGGGGGCCATATGGCCACCAGGCAAGGCATCCATCCATCCCATGACAACAGGCTGTGGGCACCCAGCAATGGGCATCCTCCAGGGCCTGTATGTCAGTGAGGCCTGGGGTGGAGCTGGCCTGACGCCCCCTCCCCCGTGGCCAGTGGACTCCCCCGTGACCTCTGTGTGGGGTCACATCCTCTCCTCCCTCCTATGGAATTTTCTAGGATCCAGCTTCTGTCTCCAACCCCTCCTCCTGCCTTAGAGGAGGCCAGCAGGCAAGGAATTCCAGCAGATGTTCCTTCTGAGGCCAGGGCGAAGGCTTCTGGATATGAGCCCCACCCCTAGCAATGTGACCAGAGACCACCTGCCATGCCAAGCTTTTGTGCACACACACACACAGCCTCTTTCTGAGAAATTCTGTGTAACCGCCACAGCAGGTGCAGGGCAGGGTGGAGGGGGCATGCGGGCCCCAAGTGATGCCCCACCCCCACCAGAGGAAGGGCTGTGCCCAGCCACGGGCATCCAGGTTGATCCAGCTCATTAGCTAGGTCTTCAATCTGCACCTGGGCCAGGGCTCAGGGGTGGGGGGTGGGGGGGACGGTGAGGCAAGGACAGTTCCACCTCAGCCACCCCCAACTCTCTCTCCATTTCCTGTTTGTGTACAAACGCTTCAACCCAGCCCAGTCTGATCAAAGGCAACAGAGAGGAAAGACAGTCACAGCCGTCACTGCCCTAAACCCACAGTCAAGAGTCCCCAGCCCGGGCGAGGGATGCTCAGCTGCCCCTACTAACGACTGGCAGCTGCTCCACCTGCTTGGGTCCTCACAGCTGGACGGGAACAGCTGTGTCATGGAAGGCATTACTCCTGCCCCCCGCCCCAACACACACTACGGGAGGCATGTGGCCTGAGCAGGGACCACCAGCTCTCTGTCCATTCCCTCGCACACAAAGGGGCTGGCCGGTGGGCCAAGTGTCTGAAGCCTAGGGCTAGACCCAGTCTGTAAGCAGCTGCCATTTGTATGGCATTGGGGCGAATGGCAGTTTTGAATTAACTGGAACATATTTCATAGCTTAAAATCAAGTGTGGAGGCAGAAAAGGCAAACGGCACACACATCCGGCTTTGTTTGCACAGACCAGGGGCTATCTGGGGTCCAGCAGCTACTGCTCCCGGGCGGGGAAACGGGTCCCTACCGGCCTTGGTCCTGAGGCCAAGAGGAAGGTCAGCAAGACCCCTGTATGGGCAGCTCAAGGAGGGTATCCACTTTCCCAGGCCTTTCCAGTGAGTGTAGTGGGCCAGTACTGGCCCTCCCCACCCCACCCCCGCCAGTGCAGGGCTCCACCAGCATCTACTCACTTCTGCTCTGCCACCTGGGGGTCCACAGGGCTGGGTGAGTCCATGCAGAGACCTGCAAGCATGGAGGGCCTGAGCGTGAAAGCTGTCCCATGTCCTATACCTTTCCCCCACCAGGTCTCAGGGAGGGGAAGAAATCCCATTTCTACTTGCCGCCTGGATGACACACACCCTGTTCCCCAAAAGGGACAGGACTCCCCTCCCTGTTACTATGGAAACTCCTCTGTTCCATATGTGTGTAAACCACAGGGCTTACTAAGCATTTTGTCTCCATCGGGCTTAAAATAACTTGTTCTAGAAGAGATTATGGCTTTCTAAGGGAAAAGCTACAGGCTCAGAACACTCGGAGGACCAACAAACTCCAGCCTCTGGCGGCTCGCAGGTGGGGCTGGCGCCTGGTTTCACATAGGTGAGCTCTGTTTGCCTCGGAGGGCCCCACCCTCCCACCCACTCCACCGCCGGTCTGGGCTGGGTGGGGTGGGTCCACCAAAGGCGTGTCTTCCTCCCAGTGCCTTTGCCCAGGGCCAGGCGGGAAGCCTTCTAGGGCACTCCAGGTAGTGGGAAGAATGTTAATCTGATTCGGGAGGGAGAGCATGAACCCCACCCCAAAACTCAGACCTCCCGGGGGGCACCTGTGGGTCTCACCTGCGTCAGAAGATTCCGAAGAGTCGGAAGAGCACTCTGACGTCCGGCGGGACATGGACAGGCGTGCCAGGCGGCTGCTGCGTAAGAGCAGGCTCCCTGCAGGGCTCCTTGGGGTCTCACTGGGCAGGGAGGAGGGGCCCAGGAGAGCAAGAAGGTGAATTCGGGCTTCAGGCTGGCCAGTCCCCCCTCCTCCCCCTGCCGCTCCAGGTCCCCCACCTGCTCCTCAAGCCCAGGCAGGCTCATTCCCCACCATGCTTGGCTTAGGAAAGGCCCTCCCAAGTGGCTCGGGAGTTGTCACTGGGCGGGAGCAAGGGGCCTGGGCTAGGGGGTCAGTGGGGTAGCCCAGGGAGCGCTTCCTCCCCTCTGCCCCCACCCCATCCCCATCCAGGGCCATCTTGCAGAAAACGGCCCAGGCCTGGGTCTCTAATGCTGCTGTAGGAGGCAGCCGGCTCACTTAGGGAGCTGCTCCAGGGTCACTCACCTGACCCTGGGGGCAGAAGCATGGGGGGAAGGGTGCAGGGTGATGGGCTTGTGAGAACCCCTACTACCAGCCTCCACTCCCCCCTCCCGGCTCGATATGCCCCGCCTGGGGGAAAATGGAGGAGACCTGGGCCGACTTTCAGGAGGCAGCGTGGTGGAGGCACGGGGGTCTAGGATGGGCTGAGGTGACGCAGACCCAGAAAAGATCACTCGAGGGGGGCTGTCGGCCCCGGTCCCGGGGCCCCCGAAGCAGAGGCAGGGCCTCGCCCTGTGCCACCCCCGCGGACTGCGGTCTGGGTCCGTCGCCCACCCACCCCTCGTCCAGCCTCTTTGGGGACGTCCTACCTGCCGAGCCCGGCCAGGTCGTGCATGGTCTTGGTGAGGGTGGTGACCGGCGAGGAAGCGACCGCGCGCTCCGGAGAACCCAGCCGCAGGCCCGGGAGGTGGCCCGGGCGCGGGGCGCCCTCGTGCACGCGGGCCGGACTGAGGGTCGAGCATGCTGGCGGCACCTCCATCGCGCCGGGGCGCCGGCTAGGGAGCCGGGGTTGAAGTGGAGGGGGCAGGGAGCGGGTCCGGGGTTGGGGGAAGGGAAGGAGGGAGGAAGCGCAGTAGGGCCGGGAGTCAGGGAGGAGAGGGATGCGGGGAGGGTGGGGAGGGGTGAGGGACGCGGGACTCCGACACCAGTCCGGGAAGCCTCTGCTTGCAGCTGCCACCTCCACTCCTTATATATTCGAAAAATAACAGCGGCCGCGCCGCCGGACGCCACCAATGGGGGCGCGGGTTCGAGGAGGGCGGACCCGGAGGCGGGGCCCGCGGCGCGCGGCGTGGAGGCTGGACCGGCCCGCCCAGCCCGGCTCGGCTCCCGGCCTCGGGTGGAGCGGAGGAATCGGGGCTCATCGCACGGCCTACTCGCCGCCCCGGAGCGGCCCTGCCGAGTCCCGGCCTGGGCACAGGGCTTGCAGCCTCACCCCAGCTAAGCCGGCAGCAGCTCCGGGCGAGCGCTCGGAAAGGGCGCCCCGCGGTTAGCCCCGTGCGCGAGCTGCGTCCGCGGGCCCATTTCACAGACGCGGACGTGGAGCCCTGAAACTCTCGAGCTCCTTCGAGGTCACGCGTGATTCGGCAGCCCCCTGCCCCGCGGCCAAGCGGCCCCACAGTCCAGTGCAGGTGGTGGGAGGACGTTGGGGGGCCTGCGCCCCGCTGACCGACGCGTCCCGAGATCACCGCGGGTCCAGTTTTCTCCTAACAGCCCAAAGGCAACTCTAACCGCTGGACCAGACCCGGGTGACCCGTGGCTTGGCAATTCTGGTGTCAATGGCGCAGTGTTGCTTAACTCTTGTTTCTCTGATGACCGAGAAAGCAGAATTTGTCGGCAACGTCTAATTACTTTCCAGCTGAGCCCTTATTTTCTTGGATTGAGGCCTCGAAGGCTGCGCCCCCAAAAGCTAGTGGGCGGGAAGCAGCGCACCTCGACTCCCCAGGGAAGCCGGACTTCTCGCTGATGACTTGGGGGTGGGGAGGTGCAACTCTGGGGGTGAGAGCCGTGCGCCCCACGCCCTTTCCGGGTCAACCGCAACCTCGCCCCTGGGTGGGGTGGGCAAACGGGAGTGGCGGAGTGGGGTGAAGAGGACCGCCGACCCGCGGTGAGCCCCACCTGAGAGGCGACTCTGAGCAACGTGCCCAGCCCCTTTGGCTGGGCCAGGGCTGAGAGCTGGCCAGGGCCGCTTCCCGGTCACCTCGCCATGGCCAAGGCCCCCCGCTCTGCCCCTCCTGGTCGCTGCCCACACTGCTGGCAGGGAGAGGGGACTGAGCCCCTGGCAGGCGGCGCAAAGCAAAACTGCCCGGAGGGTTGCATTTTCAAAATGAACACAGGAAAAACACGCCCCCTCCCAACACGCACCGGATGTGGGGAGGTCTGAGGGCGGCAGGCTCGGAATCCCTTGAAATCCTACAGTCAGAAGGTCGCCCCCTGGGACAGGATTGTCCCAAGGTCCGTGGAGGCACGGGCAGGGGGCCCTCCCCAGCACTTTCTGGAACAACTGACGTGTCTTCCCGCATCTTGCCAATCAGATCATAGATTATTAAATGCTTCAAACAATAGCAGTCAATAAAATGAGCTACACTACGCACTGATGGAGAGGCTGACTGTGAGCCAGCAGGCTGGGCTCCTGCCTGCGACACCAGTGGCCCATAGAGGATACAGCTGAGTCCCACCTACCGCACTGCGACCCGGTTCCGGTGAAGCACCTGAAAGCACTTGGTACTCAGCTACCGGGACTCCTGTAACCCTTGGGGGACTTTGGAGTAGCAAACCAGTGAATGGAAGACCTCCTGCTCCTCTCTCCAGATACAGCTTACAAATAGGGACTGGCATTGTGGCACTGCAGGTAAAGCCGCCGCCGGAGAAGCTAGGATCCCATCTGGGCACCACTTCTGATCCAACTCCCTGCTAATGTGGTGGGGGAAAACAATGCACAGTGGCCTAAGTGTTCAGGCCCCTGCACCTACGAGACCCAGAGGAAGCTTGTGGCTTCAGATTTCTTTGCAGCCTGCTTGTGCTCTGATTTTCAAATAGATGTGTACCTCTTTTTAAATTATTTTTTTTTACCTTTTTTAAATTATATTTTTGACAATCTTTACATAGGTAATTAGGGTAAAAAGGTTCAAGGGCTACAGGAACGTGAATAAGATTAGTATTTTTCCCATATTGTTACCTTCATGTTTAAAGGGGAGTATTAAGGGAGAAGGCCCACCCAATTTCCTACCCTCCCCGGGTCCCAGATGTGGGGCATGCTCCGAGGTTCTTGCTCAAGTGGTTTTGATAGTTCACCAGTTATGAATCGCTGCCAATCTTGCCACTCCAAGTACGATGAGGTCGTTGAAGAATCCACTGATTGACATAGTCCATCATAGAGTCTCCGTTTGCCCCATATTTCGCTGCCAACATATAGCCGAGTTGGTTGATTAACCTGTTCTGTCTTCTCTCTTTTCTTGGTTAGGGTCCTGAGTCCAGCATTTCGATTGGGGAGATCTCCAAAGAAACTTTGTCTGAGGTGTTCTCAAACCAGATTCTTGTATGTGCTAGCAGGTACAGGGCCCGGCACAGTCCATTGCCCCGATCAGCTGGTGTTTGCAATTGCTGGGTTGGTTCTGTTTTCACTCCCGACTTCCACTGGAACCCATGGGTGTTGCAGTCCAGCCTGGTTCTGCCCAGCACATACTTGGTCCTCGCATAAACCAGTGGGAGCTACATTAAAATTCTTAAAAAAAAAAAAAAAAGGATGTATTCAGGCCCGGTGAGGTAGCCGAAAGGCTGAAGTCCTCACCTTGCATGCACTGGGATCCTATATGGACGCCAGTTCTAATCCCGATGGCCCCACTTCCCATCCAGCTCCCTGCTTATGGCCTGGGAAAGCAGTCGAGGACAGTCCAAAGCATTGGAACCCTGCACCTGCGTGGGACGCCTAGGGAGGCTCCTGGCTCCTGGCTTTGGATCAGCTCAGTTTTGGCCATTGCAGTCACTTGGGGGGTAAGTCAGCAAACCTTCCTCTCTGTTCTCCTCCTCTCTGTATATCTGACTTTCCAATAAAAATAAATACATCTTAAAAAAAGAAAAAACAAAGAAGGCATCTCTAGGGAGGAACTGCTGGAAAGCATGGGATTATGGACGCGAACTGCAGGTTGGTCTCTGATCCCGTGAGCACACTTCCAGAGAGTTCTCTTTGGGGGATGACAGAACACACAGATGTCAACCCAGCGAGTCACTGCTCTTCTGGAGGGCAGGTGCACCATGGACTGCGCAGTCGCTGCAGGCTTTAAAGAGAATGGGCCATGGGGCAGAGCAGTGCCTGACACTTGGCAGGGACCCTCAGTCCGTAACCGCGAGTAGTTACCAATTAGCTTTTGAGCTTCCAGAAAAGAGTCATTTGAAAAGGAAGTCAGGAGCTGAGGCTGGAGCTGTGATATAGTGGGTGAGCTGCTTTCTGCCATGCTGGGACCTCCATCAGAGGGCCGGTTTGAGTCCATGCTTCCCTATATCTGATTCCAGCATCTGCCCATGTACAACTGTGCCCCTGGGAAAGCAGCGGATGAGGGCCTCTGCCACCCAAGTACGAGATCAACTTAGGGTCCCTGGTTCCTGGCTCCAGCCTGGCCCACCCTGGGGTAGCACGGGGGTCCCTGTCGCCTGTATGGGAGATGCAGTTTAAGTCCTGGGCTCCTGGCTCTGGCCTGGCCCACCCTGCCTGTGGTTGAATTTGGGGAGTAAACTAGTTCACAGAATAGCTTTGTCTCATTGCCATTAGATTTTTTTAACTGATTAAATGCTTTTTTTTTTTTTTTAAGATTTATTTGAAAGGCAGAGAGACACAGAGAGAGAGAGAGAGCAAGAGCAATATCTTCCCATCCAGTGGTTTACTCCCCAAATGGCTGCCACAGTTGTGCCGGGCCAGGCCAACATCAGGAGCCAGGAACTCCATCTGGATCCCCTTCATGGACTACAGGACACAGTATTGGGCTACATCCTGTCATCTTCACAGGCTTAGCAATGCAAGATGGTCACAGTACCCAGGCCCCTCCACTCCTGGGGGAGACCTGGAGAAAGTTCCTGGCCACTGACTTCAGCCTGGCCCAGCCATGGTTACTGTGAGCATTTTGAAGTGAATCAGTGGATAGAAGATTCTGTCTTTCTCTCCCTTCCCCATCATTTTTGCCTTCAAAAAAAAAAAAAATTAAAGCATGATGCTAAATGGAAGAGGCCAATCACAAGAGACACATATGATTGCATTGTATGTAATAGTCAGGAGAGGGAACACATGAGAGCCAGAAAGCAGGTTAATGGTGGCTTAGGGCTGGGGAAGGGGTTAGAGAAGGACCTGGGAAGAGGGCTGGAGAGGGACCTAGGGAGGGGACTGGAGAGAGGGCTGGAGAGGGGGCTGCAGGGCCAGAGGGAAGAGGCACAGGGATAGGGGGAGGAGGCTGCAGGGCCAGAGGGAGGAGGCTGCAGGGCCAGAGGGAGGAGGCTGCAGGGCCAGAGGGAGGAGGCTGTGGGGCCAGAGGAAGGAGCTAGGTCTAGGCAGAGGAGGCTGCAAGGTTAGGGGGAGCAGGCTGCAGGGCTAGGGTTGGACACAGAAAGGAGATGGCATTTCTTCTTTCATGATGAGGATATTCTAAAACCTATCAATCTGAAACTTACATGTAATTGTCACTTGTATGCATTTTAAGAATTGATGTTTTGATTTTGTTCGAAAGGTACAGCAGATGATTGCCAACTTGCTACTCAAGGACCTGCCAGCAGTCAGGGCCAGGTTATGATGAAGCCAGAAGCCAAGAACTTTATCCAGGGCTCCCCACGTGGGTGGCAGGGACCCAGGGACTTGAGCCGTATCTGTCACCTCTCTGAAAGGGCACTAACAGGGAGTTGGAGACATGAGTGGAGTGAACAGACGCTGTATAAACACCTGCCCAGACACTCTAGCTGTGTGGCACCTGAGCTATCTCTCAATGCAACTTTCTCCAAGAAAGACATGCACTCCTAGCGAACCACAGGTAGATGAGGTGTGCATTTTGGGCCTTGGCTCTGGGATGCCTTGGGAACTCTAGGG